TAATATATTCTACTTCGGTGATCTCCAGAAACTATGCTTATTCCTAGTGCATATACAGGTGGTGGCTTATCTCTCGCGAGCAAGTTGAGGACTCTGTCATCTGAGGCATTTGTGAATCTCTTAACTGCTATATTTAAGATTGTTCAGGTAATATATGCATCAATTATGGAACTTTTAGTTATTTAAACAAGCACTATAGGAAGTTATACATATATATTTTGCTTATGTTAAACCTCTGGCAGCCTTTTTATTTTTGTTTTGATACATCTACCATATAATAGAGGTTTGGAAATTTTCACTCTCTGAAGCAGTTAGATGTTTGAATAAGATGTAATATGATTTCATTTCATTTAGTGAATGCAGGCACATCTAGTCCGGGCTTCGGAAGTGAAAAAAGCAATTGAATGGATTCTCTGCAATATCGATGGACATTATGCCGCTGATTCAGTTGCAGCTGCAATTGCTGTTGGTGCTGTAGCGGCCGAAACAGCTCAGGAAACAGGTTTCGAAGGTGGATCATTAGTGTCTTCTCCATTGGGTAAGGCTACCTCAAAGGCCCCTCCATTGCAGGGAAAATTGAGTGACGCATCAAGCTTGATGAACATGTCGAGAAACTTCAGGTTTCTGAGTTTCCCTCTCTTTTTTTTTTTAATGCATTTTCCAAATTCTCGCAGTTGTCTGTGACACAGGCTCTTGTTCTATGCTAGGAACTAAATTAGGCATTTTTTTTTAATTTATATTAGGGCCGATGTCTTGAGAGAAAACACTGAAGCTGTCTTTGCGGCTTGTGAGGTTACTCATGGTAGGTGGGCAAAGCTACTAGGAGTTCGCTCTCTTCTTCATCCAAAATTGAAATTGCAGGAGTTCATGAGCATTTATGATCTGACCCAAGAATTTATAACAGCTACGGAGAAGGTATTTGTTCTAAACTTTTCTTCATAAAAGAGATAAGAAATTGCAGTGCTTATTCTTGGTTGACATTTTTACTGAATTTAACAGATTGGTGGAAGGTTGGGATCTAGTATTCGTGGGACGCTGCAATCACAAGCCAAAGCCTTTGTTGATTCCCAGCATGAAGCTCGGGTTAGTCTCTGTACAGAATTATGGATACGTTTATAAGTAGTTTTACAGCAAGCACATCTCCACTTTTGTTTAGTTTCAAAAAAAGAATAGTGGCGAAAAAGTTATACCAAGAGCAATAAGCCCAAGCCATCTGATCTATACTTTCTCTAGCAGAAAGGTTAAACTTACTTTTGGTAACCAAGTAGTGTTGAACTATATTAACTTCATCCCATAGATGCACATTCTGTTATTTTTTATCATCTAAATTCTTTCATTAACAAGAGTTCTGGTTTTTGTTCTAATTTGTTTTGCTGTAGATGACAAAACTAAAAGCTGTGCTTGATCAAGAAACATGGGATGAGATAGATGTTCCTGAAGAATTTCAATCCATAATTAGTTCTCTTTTTGCATCCCAACAGTTGATTTCTGGGAAAGTTGATGATGCTGATTTTAAAACATATCACAGTAATCGGCTCCCTCTCAATGGGTCTCTCACTTCTGGAACTGGGGATCAAAATACTGAATTACGAAATCAAAAATCTGAATCTAGTGAAGGTCCTGCAGTTAGTGATGCACAAGTGAAATCCACAGTCTCACCTGAGTCTCTTGAAAGAAGCAAGGCTGGTGTTTCTTCAGTTACGAATAATCAAAGTAATCAGAAGGCGCACGGAAAATCGAACCTTTTCTATCAAGGAGTTGGTTACCACATGGTAAACTGGTTAGTTTTCTTGTTATGCATTTTAATATTGTTGATCGATGACTTCTGTTATATTTTCTCTTTCTTGCATGCCTGGGTGGGCAGTCTTCTCTCAAGATATATGTACTGTTTGCTAGGTTTAGATTGCATAACGTTTGGCTGCTATCCAGGCTGGAAATTTTTAGTTATGCTGATGCAATTTCTTTTATGTCTGCAGTGGGTTAATATTGCTCAAGATGTTGTCAGAATACATTGATATGAACAATTCTTTGCCAGCTCTGTCCTCGGAAATTGTTCGTCGTGTTGTTGAAGTGTTGAGATTTTTCAACACTCGGACATGCCAACTTGTTCTAGGTGCTGGTGCTATGCAGGTATAAATATGCTTTACATAAAAAAAAATTGTAATTTTCATTGCTGATTAGCTGTATTGAGTTTTCTAACCAATAACCTGTGATCCATATCTTAACCAGATGTATCACCTTACGTACTTGTCTTTTGGAATTTAGTTTTTTGACACAAAAGAAATATGATTTCTATTTACTCAAAACAGATGTAAACTTCATTAATATTGACCTTTTGAGTGGCCATATTCATGCTATAGGTATCTGGTTTGAAGTCCATAAAGGCGAAACACTTGGCGCTTGCAAGTCAAGTAATCGACTTCACTTACACTATTATTCCTGGTAGGTGATAACTATTTTTCTTTTTCTAACTGTTGCAGTTATAATGTTTCGAATGGATTAATGTCTTGACATCATTTGATTCTCCTCTGTAGAAGTGTTTTACTTTGTGTTATCCAAGCATTTGCTTACTCAATTTTTTTGTCCAAAATATAAGTTTGATGGTTATTTTGTTGTTGGGGTTTTTTGAATCATCCCTAGCTCCTTTTTTGTTTTGATAAAATCCCTAGCTCATTTTCCATGTAAGCTTGGGTTCCTGCATAACAGTTTTTTTTTTTTTTCTTTGTGGTCCAAGAAACCAGAAGAATTCTGTTTTCAAAAGTACCTGAGACGAGAAAGCCTCTGTTGTCAGTAGAGATGGATAAAGTTGCTCAGGTATGTTTCTTCTGGCTTTTGTGTCTTTACTATTACAGGTCTTAAGGTTTAGAAAATAGTTGGAAAAAAGTTCACACCAGGTGGTCATCTCTTGTTTGGTGTTTTAATATCCGTTTCCATTTACTTCGATTTCTTGACAATTCTCAGGATTATAGAATTCATCGAGATGAAATATACACAAAACTGGTTCAGATTATGAGAGAAAGACTATTGGCACATCTTCATGGTTTGCCCAAAGTTGTTGAGGGCTGGAACAGACCTCCAGACACCAATAAACAAACTAAAGAGTTTGCATGGCCACTCACAAGGGTGATTTATTCTCGCTCACTAATCTTATAAAGATAATAGTAAATGTTCTAATACGCATTTAATTTATCAGGAAGTTGGCTACCTTCACCGTGTGTTGTCTGAGACATTGCATGAAGCCGATGTTCAAGCAATCTTCAGGTGAGCATATATGCAACTTTCATAGGAAAGACATCTTGGCCTGCATGAATTTGTTATTTGCAGTAGCATTGCCGACTTATTGTAGTTGTAGGACAGTACTCGTCTTTAGCTTTCTTGTATAGCACAACAAATTATTGTTGCTTTCTTGTAAATGTTAAAAGGCAGGAATTGTTTTTCGGGTTCTGAAGTCACTTAGGTTACCTTCTTCATATACATTTTCATGATTCTTGTAGGCAGGTGATTTCAGTTATCCACACACAAACCTCTCAAACACTTATGAACTTGGAGATAAACTCCCCAGAGGCAAAGAAAAGGTAATTCCATATCCTTTCAAACAAAAAGAGCCAACTTAGCCTTTGTAATTAATTTTTTTCCCTGTCTTAATCAGGCTGAAGCTTCATGTTGAGCTTATCCTCAAATGCATCCGGTCGTTACCATCCGACAATGCCAATCAATCAGGCATCCCAAACTGGGGACAACTAGATGAATTCTTTGCACAACACTTTAGAGAAGAAGAAGCAGGCGAAGCTGAGTGATGAAGTCTTCATTGTACAGCAATTTGTTTCTTCTCACTTCCTCTATACAGTAAAAAATCAGAACTTGAGTATGAGGATGGACTATTCGTCCTGTAGATTTAACTTACAGGTAACAAATTCCTTCACTCTGCATCCAGTACCTATGAACCACTCTGCAACCAAAGGCGTTTACCAAATCAAATACAAAAAATATGATATGTCATATTCTCATCGGTGTTTATATCATGATTTTCGGGAAGCTAACCAATTTAGTATCCTGATTCCTGAAAAGCAAACCTAACCTACGTTTAGTTCAGCTACTGCATAAAAACTCAAAGAGAATTCTGATGGTTTGGACCTTCAACTGCAGGCGTATTACAGTTCTTGGCTCGGATGGATCTTGTTATATCAATCTCTTGTTTGGAGTTTCTCATTTAACTCAATTATTGCTCTTGTTATTTTAATTTTTTGAATTGTAAGAGTTACGAGTGAGTTTTGGAGAGAGTTTTTGAAAGAGGTAAGCAGTAGATGTAGACGTATATATAATATCTCGGAAGGAAACAGTCTTTACTCTTCTTAGTTCTTACTACTCTAAATATCAGTCATTTGGTTGTCAAATCCGTATTGTGAAAGTACGTCTCCAAAATCAGTAAACCAACTCTTTAGACACTTGCCCAATGGATACTCAATGTAAACGCATTTGTTGCGGTGTGATTCATTTTTTTTGGATACTCAACAAAAAATTCTCAAGTTTTCACACGAAGGCCGAGGCCCATATGGTTTCTTCCCTTGCAATAATTTTGATGGAGTTCAGTTTATTATTAGATACGCAGCTGTTGGTAAGCTCTCTCCCCAAAACTTCGCCGAGAGCAATGATTGAAACAGGATAGCTCTCGCCACATTCACGATATGACATGTTTTCTCTATTGTTTATTGCGGCGGACCTACACACCAAATTGAATGCATTATCCCTTGTTCTTGAAAGTCTTATGCAAGACGCATCAATTCTGTTCCATTTTTTCTTAAATCAATCTTGATTTTTTCGGTCTAATTAAAGATATACTCCAAAATGTTCATATTTGTTTTACTCATGTTTTGGATATAAAAGAATAAGGTAAATCCATTTTAACTAAAATCTAAGAATGTTGAATAACAACTGTCTTGATAAATTAGATTAAATCAAACAAAATTATACATAATCCAATAGATGTTAATGCATTCTTTAAAATCTCTGCGGCAGGAGAAGGACTTGACATTGTTGTTGATATTCATGTCTTGAAACTCAATTTTCCGAGTCCAAAAAGGTATGCCAAACGATTGATCATTCCTCTGTACCCCAGTAAGGAACAATTATGGATCGAATTTTGTTTTCAAAAACTCACCTCCGTTTTTTCAGGGACTCTGCTAAGAGAAAAAAGAAATGGAGCAAGAGAGAAGCTTGGAACCACAACTATGGCATGCTTGTGCAGGATCAATGGTTCAGATCCCCACCGTGCATTCAAAGGTCTTCTACTTCGCTCAAGGCCACACCGAGCACGCCCACGCGCCTCCCGATTTCCACGCGCCGCGCGTACCACCACTTGTTCTCTGCCGCGTCGTCGCTGTGAAGTTCCTCGCCGACGCAGAAACGGATGACCTCAACGCCAAAATTAGGCTTCTGCCACTGCCGGAAAACGACCTGGATCTGGAAAATGATACCGTTGTGGATCTTACTCCTCCAAAACCGGCGTATTTTGTCAAAACACTGAAGAATAATGACGTCAACAAAGGCGCCAGATTTTCCGTGCCGCGTAGGTGGGCCGAGAAAAACTTCCCACCGCTTGACGTCACAGCTAAGTGTCCCTACCAGACCCTAATCGTCAAAGACATCCGCGGCAAGACATGGAAATTCCGACACATCAGGGGAACGCCTCGACGTCACATGCTGACCACCGGCTGGAGCACTTTCGTTGAGCAGAAAAAGCTTATCGCCGGCGATTCGATCGTCTTCCTCCGTTATGAATCCGGCGACCTCTACGTTGGAGTCCGCCGCACCAAAGGCGGTGGTGACGACACGGCTAGGAGGGTAACGGTAGAAGCAGTGACGGAAGCAGTGGAACGTGCGGCGTGTGGGCTAGCGTTCGAGGTGGTCTATTACCCTCAGGCTAGCACGCCGGCGTTCTGCGTGAAAGCGGCTGATGTGAGAGCAGCAATGCGGATAAAATGGTGCAGTGGCATGAGGTTTAAAATGATTTTTGAAGCAGAGGGTTTTTCGAGAATGACCACAGGCACTGTGTCTGCTGTTCAAGTCGTTGATCCAATCCGCTGGCCCAACTCCCCATGGCGTCTCCTCGAGGTATCAATATTCTTCCTTTACAAAATCTCTAATCTGCGTTTGCAAACGCTACTAAAAGATGAAGATGTTGCGGTTATGGTTAAAGGTAGTGTGGGACAAACCAGAGTTGGTGGTGCAAAAGGTGAAGCGGGTAAGCCCATGGCTAGTCGAATTGGTATCGGACATGCCTGCAGACCATCTTCCTCCGTTCTCTCACAGGAAGAAGATACAGCTTCCGCACCTTTCCCACGGTACCAAATCCTCAAATTTCTCCCCTAGATTAGCCAACAACATAACTCTATGTGTTTATCTTTCAGACGATAACATTAGCAGCAGGAAGACGGCTTTTTTTGAAAAAATAATACAGTGATGAACAATCACGGCCCATTCTGACATATGCGTCTCTTGTTTTAGGACTTAGGAAGAAAATTGGCAGTACAGTACCATTGAGTTGCTGTTTTCCTTGTGAACTGTAATTGTGATTTGCATTTTGGAATTAGTTTTTCCACTTTACTTTGATAGTAGTGAGCTTCTCATTGAAGATTGGAAGATTTTGTATTTGTAGTGTATTGGTTGTTATCAACGAGTTCTCTAATTTTCCCTCTTCTGTTGTTTTCATGTCTAGGAGTCCCTTCTGCTAAAATTCCCTTGATAGCGACAATGAATCCACAAGATGCACAGACGGAGCTAATTACAAATTGGCGGGCTAAGGTGGTTGAGTCCTCGACGAAGGTGGACTCAGAAAAAAGTCGCAGCAAGCAACAGATAGTAGAAGACAATGAGTTGGCGTTTGTTGTGACTAAATCTTTGAGTGATGCGAAGCGTTCAAGATCAACTGAAGGATCAGGCGAATCAGGTTCAGGGTCCATCATTACAACTGTTGCAGGCAAGCCGTCTACTATAACTCTCAACATGAGGAGCTTAAGTTATCCAAACGATGACTTGTCTTCGTTCTGCGAGTTCCTTAGCAGCCGCCTGCCTCCGTTGGATCTCTCTGGGTGCAGAGCCGAAGACGCCATTGATTTTCTCCGCATGCAGCAGGCTTCAGGCGACGTAGAAGCCCTCGTTGGCCGCCTCAGTGCTGCGTGTGAGGTATTCGGCATAAAACCTCAGGACAATCCTTTCCATAACGTAGCTGTAACAGCATACCTGAAGGCGGCGAAAGAGATGACTCAAGAAACAGAATGTATACTAGTCTTTTCTTGCAATGACAAAGATGTGGACGAGACACTTTTCATCGAAACCATTTCAAAAAAATTGCAAGAACGAGAGGTCACCCCTTTGATATATAATCTATCATGGAGAAAGGACATCGACACAGAGATCTTTCACAGATTTAGTGTTGGTATTATGGTACTTTCACATAGTTATACTTGTACCAGACAGTCCATGGATCATCTCGTGGCCATCTTGGAACATTGGAAAGCAAAAAACCTTGTGATTATCCCTATATATTTTAAGGTAACACTTTTAGACATTTGTGGGTTGGAAGGCAGGTTTGAAGCAGCATTTCTGCAGTATCTGAATTCTGCCCAGCCAGGCAGTGTTCAGAAATGGAAGGCGGCTCTGGCTGAAATAGCATCCATGGATGGACATGAATGGACAAAAGAGTAAATTGACTTATCTTAGTTGCCCCTTTACTCTTTGTTCAATGTGGCATCTGCATTTCTAGGAAACATCCATTGGCCTTATTAATATTTTTAATATTCGGAGGAGTGCTTTATCAGTATGGAGTTAACTCGGTACATCTATTTTGTGTGTTCTTTTTCAGGACTCAGGATATGCTTGCCGAGGAAGTTGTAAGAAACGCATGCTTAAAGCTCTATTTGAAAAATAGCAAGAATCTAGTCAGAATCTTAGCATTGTTAAATCACTCCCAGCCTTCAGACGCTGATATTGTGGGAATTTGGGGTATGGCAGGAATAGGTAAGACATCCATTGCTAGAGAAATTTTTGGAATTCTAGCTCCACGATATGATGTGTGTTACTTTCTGCAAGACTTTTATCTAATGTGTCAAAAGAAAGGGCTGAGGCAAATACGTGATGATTTCTTCTCTAAAGTATTTGGAGAAGACAAACTAAGTATAAGCGCTTATGATTTAAAACCAAGTTTCATGAGGGACTGGTTCCACAATAAAACGATTTTTGTTGTTCTCGATGACGTGAGCAATGCCAGAGATGCAGAAGCTGTAGTTGGAGGGTTTGGCTGGTTTTCTCATGGACACAGAATCATCTTAACCTCTAGGCGAAAACAAGTTCTTGTACAGTGTAAGGTTAAAGAGTCATATGAGATCCAGAAATTATGTGAAACTGAATCTTTTCGTCTTTGCAAACAATTTCTGAATGGAGAGAGTGTGGTCATCTCAGAGCTCATTAGCTGCAGTAGTGGTATTCCTTTGGCTCTCCAAGTTTTGGGTTCCTCTGTATCAAAGCAGCCTATAAACAATATGAAGGAACATCTTCAAAGATTGCGAAGAAATCCTCCAACTCAGATTCAGAAAGCATTTCGGAGAAGCTTTGATGGAATAGATGAAAACGAAAAGAACATATTTTTGGACCTTGCATGTTTTTTCAGAGGGGAGAGCAAAGATCATGTGGTGCAATTACTTGATGCTTGTGGGTTTCTTACATATTTGGGAATCTGTGATCTGATTGACGAGTCCCTCATTAGCCTTGTGGACAATAGGATAGAGGTCCCTGTTCCTTTTCAAGATATTGGTCGATATATTGTTCATGAAGAAGACGAAGATCCATGTGGACGTAGCAGATTGTGGGACTCTAACGACATTGTTGATGTATTGACAAACAATTCAGTAAGTCGAATTGTGTTTTGTTCTTTTCACACTCATAATTATTTTTTTCTTTAGTTGGCAAAACTAATGTTTCCCTGCTTATGTGGTTGTCTTTGTCAGGGAACAGAAGCGATTGAGGGCATTTTCCTGAATGCGTCTGACTTGACCTGTGAGTTGAGTCCTACTGTGTTTGATAAGATGTATAAACTAAGATTGCTGAAGTTCTATTGTTCCACCTCTGGGAACCAGTGTATGCTAAGTGTACCTCAAGGGCTCAACACTTTGCCTGATGAATTAAGACTACTTCACTGGGAGAATTATCCTTTGAAATACTTGCCTCAAAAATTCAATCCTGAGAATCTTGTAGAGGTAAACATGCCTTATAGTTACATGGAGATGTTATGGGAAGGAAAAAAAGTAAGTGTTGACATTATGGTGTTTTAAGCTGCTTTAAGTGAAATTATAAGCTTGCATGTGATGACTCATCTTAGTTATTGATGTTGTAAACAGAATCTCGAGAAGCTAAAGAAAATCAATCTGAGTCACTCCAGAAACTTAACTGATATCCTGATGTTATCAGAAGCCCTGAACCTTGAATATATTGATCTCGAAGGATGTACGAGTCTGGTTGACATTAGCGCATCTATTCCTCGGTGTGGGAAGCTTGTTTCCTTGAATATGAAAGACTGTTCTCGTTTGCGAAGTCTGCCTTCCATGGTCGATTTAACATCTCTCAAGCTTCTAAATGTGTCTGGTTGCTTGGAGCTCGAGGAGATTCAGGATCTGGCACCAAACTTGAAAGAGTTATATCTAGCTGGGACTGCCATAAGAGAACTCCCATTGTCAATCGAGAATCTCGCTGAACTTACTACGCTAGATCTGGAGAACTGCAAAAGTCTTCAACAACTGCCATTTGGAATAAAGATCTCGAAATCTATTGTCAAGCTTAAGCTGTTTGGCTGCACAAGTCTTGGGCTCATAAGCATGGGAGCACCGCTTCTGTCACATTTTCGGCTTCGGAAGCGGAAAAGGTAAGTTGATAAGAACAAAGACCGATTTCTTTATTGATATCAAAAGAGCTGTTACAACTGAAGAGAACTCAAGGTTTTAGGCCTTGATTCCCAATTCTAACTGAGGCAGGAGTTTGTTACTAAACACCAAACACAATTGGATAACCCTCTCACTCTCTTACACATGGAGAGTATCCCTATTTATACTGTTGTCATTCTGTTTATCTGTAATAAAAAAAAATGGTCCTCACAATTCTTCTTTATTCTCTTGACAGGTTGTCAGATTCTTCCACTCACAAGCCCAGAAAAACTGCTATTAAGGGCTTATCAAGACCCCCATTGCCGAAATTCAGCTTGCACTCAAGCTAAAAAGCTGGAAATTGCTTCGTCAGATCCACCACAAGACAACCAAGAGTTTTCATGAGCCAGCAATTCCTTCCAACCTACCAATACCTCCAAGTAACTTTCATTGTCATATCGGGAAGACAGAATGTCCTCTGATTGTAGAATCAACTCATCCACCATAGCAGTAGCCAAAAGATTGACCACATGTCCAGCTCCCAACGCAAGCTTTAATTGAGGAACACGGAACACATGATGAATCTTAAGACTCCAAAGAAAGCTGCAACTTTCACAACTACTTTACCGATCCTCAGACCATAATGCCTAGCTTCCAGTTTCTGGTAGACCCACTTTACCTTTGATTGTTGTCTGTATGGTCTCAGTTTGAGAAATAACAATGCACCAACTTCAAATTCTAGATCTCTCATATGCTTAGCAGCATTGTTCTTATCAGCAAGCACTGCATACCATAAATAATAAAAAGCGTTTCGACTAAACGGATTCGGAGAATATAGATTTTAAATGTCGGTATTGTCGTATCTGTCCATTGCGAGTGAATCCAAGAGAGGTAAACAAAAACGACTAAACGAGAGTAGAAAAAGTTCTGTAACTTTTTTCAGGTAAAGCTTTTTGAAAAGTCAACAAGTTGTGCTGAATCCACCAAAAGAAGAGAGATTCCGATTGTCATCGTGTCTTCCAAAAATAGCTTCTTCTTCACTGGAATGGCTTCTTCTTCTTCTTCTTCCAAGCGTCAGTTTGACGTGTTTGTAAGCTTCCGAGGCGCAGACACGCGTAATACCTTCACCTCTTACCTCCTTCAGTCCCTACACCGAAAAGGTATCGATGCTTTCTTTGATGAGAAAATCCGGCGAGGCAATGAGATCTCGGTCCTCTTTGACAGGATCGAGCAATCCAAGATGTCAATCATTGTCTTCTCAGAGAACTACGCCAATTCCAACTGGTGCTTGGAGGAACTCTGTAAGATAATGCAGTGCAGGGAGAAATTTGGTCATGGGGTTATACCGATCTTCTACAAAGTCAAGAAATCTGATGTGGAGAATCAAAAAGGGAGTTTTGGAGCTCCCTTCCTGAACCCTAAGGAGAGTTTCAAGGGAGATGAGCTCAAAATTGGGGCATGGAAGGAAGCTCTGAGGACTTCTTCCAATATCCTCGGCTTTGTACTTCCTGAGGAAAGGTACTACAGCAGATTCGACTTTTCCTTTTGTCTAGTTGTTCTTAAAATGCATTCAACTGTTCCATAAACGTCTTTCTTGTTCAATTTCCTTCAATCTTCACATATTGATGGACTTATGTGCAATTGGGCAGGCCGGAGGCTGAATTTGTTGAGAAAATTGTCAAGGAGACTTTTAGGATGCTCAATGATCTGTCTCCATGTGAAATCAGTGGTTTCCCAGGGATTGTATCACGTTCAAAGGAACTGGAGGAGTTATTGAAGTTTGATGATGCAAGCTGTATCCGTACCATTGGGGTTCTTGGGATGGCTGGAATTGGCAAGACCACGGTTGCTGATAGCGTATACAAACGAAACCATCGTCAGTTTGATGGTTACTGTTTCCTTGAAGACATTGACAGTGACTCGAAGCGGCATGGATTACATTATTTGCACGAGAAACTTCTTTGTAAATTATTGGATGAAGAAAATCTGGATGTCAGAGCACATGGAAGATTGGAAGAGTTTCTTCGGAACAAGAAGTTGTTTATTGTGCTGGATAATGTGACTGAAGAAAATCAAATAGAAGTTCTCATCGGAGAACAAGAGATGTACCGTAAAGGAAGTAGGATTGTTATAACTACCAGAGACAAGAGACTGCTGCAGAAAAACGCTGATGCTACATATGTAGTTCCCAGATTAAATGACAGGGAAGCTATGGAGCTATTCTGCCTAGATGCATTTTCTGACAACCTTTACCCCACGGAAGAATTCATGGAGCTATCAAACAATTTTGTTTATTACGCTAAAGGGCATCCGTTAGCTTTGAAGTTGTTAGCTTCAGGTCTATGTCAGAAGGAAAAGATGTACTGGATGGAGAAATGGGAGAGATTAAGGGTAATGCCAGACAAGGAGATCCAGAAAGTGCTAAAAAGGAGCTATGAAGAACTGGATGATGATCAGAAGCGCATATTTCTGGACATAGCATGTTTTTTCAGATCAGAAAAAGCAGATTTCGTTTCGAGCATCCTGAAATCAGACCGTGTCAATGCTGCAGCTGTGATGAAGGAGCTTGAAGATAAGTGCATGGTTACCATTTCTTATAATCGGCTTGAGATGCATGATCTAATGCATACAATGGCGAAGGAAATTGGATATGAATCATCCATCAAAAGGGCAGGCAAACGTAGTAGGTTATGGAACCACAAAGATATTCGCTTTGTGCTAGAGCAGAAAACGGTGAGCTAGATATTTCAATAATTCATCATTGATTTCCTAGAGTACATTGTATCTACACATGGTCTTTCTGGTATTGTTTTCTGTCAACTTTTCCCTGTTTAATCTCTTGCTCTTGCTACCAGGGTACTGAATGTGTTAGAGGCATCTTCTTCAACATGTCTAATGTCGAACGGATCAAGCTAAGTCCTGATGTTTTCATGAGGATGTCGAATCTCAAATTCCTGAAATTCCACAATTCTCATTGTTCTCAGTGGTGTGATAGTGACCATAAATTTCAGTTCTGCGAAGGGCTCGATCACTTTCCAGATGAGCTTGTGTACCTTCACTGGCAGGGTTATCCATACGAGTACCTGCCATCAGATTTCAATCCGGAGGAACTTGTCGATCTTAATCTGCGTTATAGTCACATCAAACAACTGTGGGAAGATGAGAAGGTGCATCCTCGGCTATATATTTTCTTATCTACACATATTATTCTTTAGTTTTTGTACTGATTAGTTATTTAATTTTTGTCTACGTTCCACAGAATACAGAAAATTTAAGATGGGTCGACCTCAGTCAGTCAAGAGACTTGCTGAATTTATCAGGTTTGTCCAGGGCCAAAAATCTTGAAAGATTGGATCTCGAAGGCTGTACGAGTTTGGTTCTACTGAGCCCATCAATTGAACATATTGACAAGCTTATTTACCTGAACCTCCGAGAGTGCACAAGCCTGAAAAGTCTCCCAGAGGGAATCAATTTAAAATATCTGAAGACTCTGATCCTCAGTGGTTGTTCAAACCTTCAGGAGTTTCATATTATATCAGAAAACATTGAATCTCTTTATCTGGAAGGCACAGCAATTGAACAAGTTGTTGAACACATCGGGAGTCTTCGCAACCTTATTTTGCTGAATCTCAAGAATTGTCGCAGGTTGAAGTATCTTCCTAACGATCTTTACAAGCTCAAATCTCTACAAGAACTGATTCTCTCTGGCTGTTCGGCGTTGGAGAGTCTTCCACCCATCAAAGAGGAGATGGAATGCTTAGAGATTTTGCTTATGGATGGAACATCCATCAAACAGACACCTAAAACGATATGTTTGAGCAACCTCAAGATTTTTTCGTTCTGTGGATCTAGCATCAAAGGTTCCACAGGGTTGGTATTGTTGCCTTTCTCAGGAAACTCCTTTTTATCGGACCTCTATCTCACAAATTGCTATATCGACAAATTGCCGGATAACTTTAGCTCCTTACACTCATTGCGGTGTCTGTGCTTAAGCAGAAACAATATTGAGACCCTACCTGAAAGCATTGAGAAACTTTATTCACTGTTGTTGCTTGACTTGAAGCATTGTCGGGGGCTCAAATCTCTTCCTGTGCTTCCATCTAATCTACAGTATGTAGATGCTCACGGATGTATTTCTCTGGAAAAAGTCGCAAAACCAGTGACGCTTCCCCTAGTAACTGAAAGGATGCATACTACTTACATTTTCACGGATTGCTTCAAGCTGAATCGAGCTGAGCAGGAAGCTATTGTAGTTCATGCCCAACGCAAGAGTCAGTCACTGGCAAGGACATCTCTTCAACATAATCATAAGGTTCGTTTCAGTTTTACTCTGTTGTTCTGGTGAGCTTTTTGATCATACGCTCATTCTTAAATGGTTTTCTTGTAACCCATTTCAGGGGCTAGTTCTGGATCCTCTGGTTGCTGTTTGTTTTCCAGGAGGTGACATACCCTCATGGTTCTGCCATCAGAGAATGGGATCTTCGATAGAAACCGACCTGCTTCCACACTGGTGTAACAAGAAATTTATTGGAGCTTCCTTATCTGTTGTTGTCACCTTCAAGGATCATGAAGGTCATCATGCCAACCGTTTATCTATAAGATGCAAGTGTACATTCAAAAATCAAAATGGTCAGTCCATCAGCTTTAGTTTCTCTCTTGGGGGATGGAACGAGTCATGTGGATCATCTAGTTGCCATGAACCACGACGACTTGGATCTGACCATGTGTTTATCAGTTATAACAACTGTAACGTGCCAATCTTCGAATGGAGTAAAAAGAGTAATGACGGTAACAGATGTCATCCCAGTAGTGCCTCATTCGAGTTCTACCTTACTGATGCCACTGAAAGGAAGCTAGAATGCTGCAAGGTGACAAGGTGTGGGATGAGTTTGCTATATGCTCCAGATGAGAGTGACCGTGGTTTCCAGGGAATGAGGGTTACAGACATCGTTGAGCGTACATCTATTGAGGCTCTTGTGACCATTCGAGGTCAGTCCCACTCACGGATTGAAGAACGAAAGAATGGCAGAATAAGAGATGAAATCCTTGATATGAGTATTTCCTCCAGGATAGGAGATCTTGGGTCTTGAAACCAACAATAGCCAATAGGTAGTAGAATGCTTAGTAACTTGTATATGTTAAAACACAATTTACATTGACATAGGAACTCGAAGACATTGCATTGCTTTTTACCCTTTGGTGTGTCAAAGGAGAGTTCTATCTACTTATCTAGCTGAAGATTCATGTTGAGCTTTCCTTGGATGTAACTGGTTCGTTGCCATTTGAAGCTAATTGATGAAGTCGTCACTAAACATCTACTGTCTGTCTCACTTCCAAAAGACAAAACAGAGTATTCTCTTCAAACTCTGTTTCTCCCTTTACACCACATGTATCCTCAGTTGACAAATTTTTGGTGGAACAACTGCTCCAAAAGGCTTCATGGTTTGATAAGATGTTTGTCAAAAAAATGCTATGGAAATTGAAGGGGAATATGAAGAAAGTTGATGGAGGAAGTTGCAGGAGAGATCAACTTTAACTTTTTAAAATTATTTTGTTATATATTTCTCCAAAGTCTTTATTTAATTTTCTGTTTGTAATTAGGATAAACTTGACAGCCAAGTGATTAGGAAACTATGTATATATTTAGATTTCCATTTTTGTTAGATATATTAACATATCTTTGAGTTTGTATCTTGTATAAATAGAGACCTTTAGTCACATAATCAATAACACAAATTATTCAATCAACTCTTGACAGTTTGTCTCAATTGTGTGGTTTTCTTTTCTTATGATATTGGTTTCATAACTAAATTTGATAACTGTTGGCGTGTTTTGATTTTAGGAATGGTTTGTCATGTATTAAAAGGGCAGCATTATTTCGCGGCCGTATTATTTATATACAACAGTTGATGATCCATCAACGGATTCAATCACCTCATGGTCCCAAGACGGCAAGAGTTTCATCGTTTGGAACATGGAAGATTTTTGCAGAGTCGTTATTCACAAGTTTGGGCTAACCAAGTTTCAGTTCTTTGCCTACATGCTTAAGACCTTTGGGTTTAGAAAAGTTGATGAGTCTGAACAAGAATGGGAATATGCAAACGATGATTTTGTGAGAGGTAAACCTGAGCTTACGTTGGATATTGAAATCACGAGATTGAAAAGTTTTGTCACAGGACAACCTTTCATGTTTAAAGGACTCCTAAAGTCCTACCAGAAACTGCTTCCCCGGAGATTATGGCTATTAAGGAGAAGGACAAAGCTTTAGCAAAGGATCTATCAAAACTCACTTTATGAATTATTATCACTCTCTCTTTTATCTTTGGACTAATGATTTATTGTTTTTGTTGTTGTTCAGTTGCTGGACTAATCCCCTAGCGGCTTTGTGAGATCATGAAATTTTGGACTTTTTAATGTGTTAATTTGATAATCTTAAAGAACGAAGCATTGTTGTGATGCTATGTTATGAACTATTACAAAATTTCATCTTTGTTTTGGTTTGTTAGGCGAAAACTCCTCATCTATCTTTGATCAGTTTTGTGAACGCAAGTTCCAATGAAAAAAAGCTTCTAGGAACTTCATTGACTTACGTTTTCCGAAATCCGAACATGGATGATGAAGAAAATGATGTAATATGAAAATCAAGTTAAAAGCTCCTTAAAACTTCATGATTCAGTTGTATATTTTTTTCTTGTTTACATAAATAGGATGTGGAATGAGTTTACATATATAGCTAGATATTTATCTAGTCTAATCCAATTTTCAGAACAAAATAATAGCTTAATCAAAATCATGATTTCGCATAATTGTATTATTGGCAAAGAACTGTGCAATCGTACAATATTCTACAAAATGTCAAAATATTAGTCATCATAGCAAAAAAAATTATTAGTCATAACATAAATGATACTATAAAGTGAATTAGTGAAATATACTTGATAAGGTAGTTGTCGCATAATAGACGTTGACAAAGAAAAAAGAATGATTGTGAACTAAACTTTAATGATCAAGCTGAAGTAATCATAAAAATGTAATCAAACCACATGCAGAACAAAAGACAAGAGAAAAGAACGACAATGTCCGTTTGTAATAATTCTTTAATCGCACATGGAACTAACAGAATGATTAGACAGCACACGCCGTAGGAGGGTAAGGTTGAGCTCCAGCATTGTAACCTTGATTGGCTTGTGGTGCGGTTGGCATTGTCGGGCCACCGGTTCCACCGCCGACTTTAGTTATCCCTTGATTTTGACCCATGTAGAAGCATCCTACACAACCACCAATGGCCAGGAACACCATGAAAATGAACAATGGTAGCGAGAAATACACGATGAGCATCGCTTAAAATCTTAGAGATTAAATAAACAAATGTTAAACTGATGAAAACTTGCAAGGAAAGGAGAAGGAGATGTAGAGGGAATGAAGAAGCCAAGAAGGATTTATAAGGGAATGTTGTTGTTGACTTGTTGTTGTTGCTACAAGGCATTGACCTTTCAAGAGAATGCAAAGAAGTAATGATGGGCAAGTGTTGTATAATAATATGAAAGAAAGTACAGAGTAAAGGAATTTGTGTGTCAAAAAGTCAGATGATCACATGAAAAAATTTCAATTATTTTGAATTAATTTGTTCTATAACCGGACTGGCGAGACCAATCCGGTTAGACGCTGGGAGGTTTATAAACTTGACGGTTTTGCCCATGTCGATTACTGTAATTTACGAGAAAACCCACCTCTGTTTCCAACCCCTCCGTCGTCTTCGCCGTCGAGCCTGACAATTGAGTGATTTGATCCTCCTTCAGGGTTTTAGTGATTTAGCTTAAATTTATCGCATTTCCTAAATTGCCATCGTCACCACTTCCACTCTCTCTCTTTCCTCTCTCCCTATGGCCACCGTCGCATTTCTTAGGGCTCTCCGCCGCCGTGAACTCCACGCAGCTCCCATCTCTGCATATAAATTCGTAAGAAATGATCCTCTAATCTCGTTCCTTTCGCGGGTATCTAATTAGCTTGAGATCTATCTTGCCTTTTTCTTTTTCGCAGAGTTCTGCTAGCGCCGGCGGGAGGACGACGGAGCTCCGGTTACATGGAGTCAAGGACATCATCGCCGTTGCTTCTGGTAAAGGCGGAGTTGGAAAGTCTTCGACAGCTGGTACATCATTGGAACCTCCTCAATTTTATGTCTCTCCTAAACATTGGTCTTGAGATTGAAAATGATAATGTGAGAAATTTGTGAATTTTGGGTTGATGATGTAGTAAACTTAGCTGTTGCATTGGCCAACAAATGTGAACTGAAGATTGGATTGCTTGATGCGGATGTATATGGACCGTCTGTTCCTATCATGATGAATATCAATCAAAAGCCTCAAGTTAACCAAGGTAGATAGATTGATAGATACCTCTTGCATTTTAGCTTAGCGTTTAAAGTATCATTTGCATCATTTTTAAAGTTTCTATGTAATCTCTGTTTTTGAAGATATGAAGATGATTCCAGTTGAGAACTATGGAGTTAGATGCATGTCAATGGGACTCCTTGTTGAAAAAGATGCACCACTTGTGTGGAGAGGTCCTATGGTGTGCATCTTTTTAGATTCTTTGTAGAGTTTATGCACACAAAAAGCTTTCGTTCGGTTTTCAAGCTTGTGTTATTGTTTACAGGTAATGAGTGCTCTTGCTAAGATGACAAGAGGAGTTGATTGGGGAGATCTTGATATTCTTGTTGTTGATATGCCTCCTGGAACCGGTGATGCTCAAATTACCATATCTCAAAACCTGAAACTCTCAGGTATGTGTATATACAGATCTCGTTGTTGCATATCCGAGTTGTGTTAGGTTAGACAAGTTGTGTAGTTATCAGAGTGTGCTTATGTTTCCAGGTGCTGTTATTGTATCAACTCCACAAGATGTTGCGCTTGCTGATGCTAATCGAGGAATTTCCATGTTTGACAAAGTTAGAGTACCTGTACGGCCATCTTCTTTGTGATCTTTGCCTGCTTGGAAACATATATTTCGTTCTAGCTGCTTAACCTTTCTGCAATTTTTTTGCTAGATCTTGGGACTTGTGGAGAACATGAGTTGCTTCGTTTGTCCTCACTGTAATGAACCTTCTTTCATCTTTGGGAAAGAAGGAGCACGACGAACTGCTGCAAAGAAGGGTCTAAAACTTATCGGTGAGGTAAATAATCTAGGCCAAAAGCGATTTGATTCCCTCTGTAGCCGTACATTAAATACTATTTTGGTTGTCTATATAGATTCCACTGGAAATGTCGATCAGAGAAGGTTCTGATGAAGGTGTTCCTGTGGTTGTTTCTTCACCGGGTTCTATAGTGTCAAAAGCTTATGAAGATCTAGCTCTAAACGTGGTGAAAGGACTCAAGGAGCTAAGAGATAATCCAGAGAATGAGATTCAGATGAAGCTAAATGTTCCTCATTCTAGCCACTCATCATAAAACAAGCCATGAGAAACACTTATATATTGCTGCCTCACTTTCTCAGATTTTTGTACCAAAGAGAATGTTTGCAGATGATAAAAGCAATAGAGCCAGTCACTGTTTATGAACCATGTGAACCAGCAGATCAATGTGGTGACTTTCATATATTAGATAGGAAGATGATGAATCTAAATCAGACATGTAGAGATAACTTTATAGTTCTGTCAAAATTTTGAAGAAGAAAAAAATGACATTCACTTTTCTGAGTAAAACATGTTGAGATCACCAAATTACCCCTTCATTATCTTCTTCTTCATCTTGATCTTCAAATTCAAGATCCTCATCGCCGTAGCATTCTTCGTTTCCTTTATACGCATCTTCATTACTGTAATCCTCATTCCAGTCTGGTTCTTCTTCTTCTTCTTTTTCAGAGTACTGAGGTTTCAAAAGGCTTTCTTCACTGCTTTGCTTTGAATATTCCATTTGGTCACCAACAACAACTGGTTTATCTAGCTTAGCCCTCTTCGGAGAGTTCTCCTACAAAGATGTGAATACACATAAGATACTAGGCAGAGAAACAAGAGGTCTATTTTTAAATTTTGGATTCTGCGTAAAAGATCATTTACAAATGGAAACATGGATAAACTTACAGGATCAAATAGCTTATCCAAGACATCGTAATTGATTTCCAAACTCGGTTTCTGCATGAAATAAGACAAGTAAGAGAATTTGTCAGACAATAAGTTTAACTACATATGAAAAATAAGGAAGATCTAAAGAAATCCGCAAGAAAGAAGTGCAATATATCTAGACATTGCTTCAGAGAGGAAGCTGAAGTAATGGTATCACTGACCTTTTTATTTTCACTCCCTGCATTGCTTTCAGTTCTGGTTGCAGAAGTTTTCTTACTAGGAGCAGTCTTATTAGCAGGATCCTTCTTTTTCCCAGTGGTGACTTTCCTATAACTCCCCTGATAATCATTAACAAGAACGTTAATGAAAGCATGTAAGGAACAACATGAAGTTCTTTTGAGAAAAGGTTCAAAGCAAAAACCTTTTGGTATTCAGGGTTCATCAATTCCCATGCTCTCTTCTTCAGAATGAATTCCTTTTTATTATTTAGATTATCAGCAACCTGATGAGCAGCAATAACCATCAAAATCAGAACAAGAATACATAAATTGTTTTGTTCTCAGAAGCTTCACATATATAATTTAACATTATAGAATAGAGCAGAATGTAAAAACCGGAAGACAAAGCACAAGAAAATAGTTTTGATTAACGTTATATGGTCGGGAATTCAGTGAAACCAATGCGTGGTCGACTTACATGTTAAGAAAATGCTGGTTCGCCACAATCCAGGAACAATTGTTGTGGTTTACAGATACTAAAACCATAAATGGGATTCAAATCAGATAAACATCCACAAGAACAAATTATATCCTCCTTAATAAAGTTTGAGAGATATTATGATTATTTCAATACATGTGTGGGGGAACTACAATAAGCATCAATTAAGCGTTAAAGGTAGACAGTATTTATTTTACCTCAGCATCACTGATATCAGATAAGTCCTCTGCAAGATCACCTTTAGACTGTCTACAAGGAAAAACTCCTGAAAAAAAACAATCACATCATCGTGTAAGTATTTACCATCTGCTTAATCTTTAACATAAAAACATTCATGGAGATAGTCTTTGCATGTTTACCTTTGTTGCCACAGACTTTTCGATTTCTAGCCAATGACTTAGAAGATAATAAAGCTTGACTTATAATGTCAACCGGTGTAATGCCTTTCGATGATAACTTTACTGATTTCTCCACCTGAAATTGATACACCAACGATTAGAAAAACATTCATCTCTGCAAAGATTCAGATTCATGAATCCACTAAAGATCACAAAAGCCCTATAATTTAATCTAGAATTAGATCAAAACCCGAATAAGAAGAGAAAAGTTTACCATCTTCACGAACCCAATGTGGCAAATATCGATCGCCGGTGAGAGAATCTGGGTTTAAATATCAGAAACCTAGAACACGCCTCTGTTTGGTTTAGTTTAGTTTTATATGAACGAGATCGACATCGGAGAAGCTTATTTATAATTTTCCTTTCACATTTTTCCATATTTCATTTTAATTTCGAATTAACACGTGTCTTAATCAAATTGGTTATAGGTTTTGCCACGTAAGCACATACACTTTTTAATCAAATTTTATCCCCCAAAAGAAAATTTCGAGAAACTAGCGGAGCGGTGGTGACTCACTGGCACTTCCTTCTGGCACTTTTCTAGCGCAAGGGTTTTCGTTCACGCGTTTCTTTTTCTCGTTGAGTGCAACTGTTCTAGGTAAGTATCGATATTTTCTTCTGCTAAATCCGAATTTGAGGTTTCCTTTTCTCCGTCGTTCTTCATCTCGGGTTTGGTGAATTTTGCTACGCAATTTTCATTCTGGGTCATCGTTTCATGAACTTTTTATCATTCTTTCATGGAAATTTGCAATCTTTATCTTTGGTTAGAGAAAGATCTCTTTGTTACTGCATTGCCCAGACTAGTTTTTTTGTTGTTGTTGTTGTTGTCTCTGATCAATCTAAAAGCATTACAATTTGCTCTGTTTTTTTTCAGAATTTGTGTAACAGTCTAAGATTATTACTCTTTAGTCTTTACATACCAATGGAAGAAGCAGAAGCATTGCCTGGGAATGCTTCTGGCAATGAGAGCGATGTTTCCTCTGTCACGAGCAATCTCCATGATGATGAGATTATCCCTTGGTTTTTTTCAAGAGAAGATATCGAAAAAAACTCACCGTCAAGGCGAGATGGTATTGATTTGAACAAGGAAACTCGCCTACGCCACTCGTACTGTACATTTTTGGAAAATCTCGGCAAAAGATTGAAAGTGTAAGTTTCTTTTCTCCTACCTGCATTTGTTATGCTGCGTAGTTTCTATCTTGTGTTGGTATTTCGTAAATTCATCATCTTAAGGACATGTATCCTTATGACATATAGGCTTTGGTCTGTTATGAATTCTATAATGTGATGTACTGCAGTCAGTTAGGGACATTGATACTCTAAGTTAGTTTACTTTGAGCATGAGGTTTATACATCCTTGTATCTTGATATGTTTATTAACATGAATCTTAAGAGCTAAAAGCCATTAATGGCTTACTTATTACCAAGTTTATGAAGCTTTTCAGTTTTTGGTTCCTTTGATGATTGTGAGCTAATATGAATTTCTCAACGCAGTCCCCAGGTAACGATAGCCACTGCTATAGTATTCTGTCACCGATTCTTCGTTCGTCAATCTCACGCAAAGAATGACAGTCGGGTGAGTTTAGTTGTATGTGAAAAATGGTTACTAAGGAAGTGTATATGTCTTTTAGTCTCTGTTGTTTTTAGTGAAACTATGAGTCTATTAGCCTATTAGCTGTCTGGTGATTTAAAACATCCTGGCTTCTGAGATTCCTCTATAGATATCCATCTCTGTTTCATCTTCTTTGCTAGTGCTAGCAAAGCGTATTAGTTGATTGATCAGATGAGTCTACCTGATTTTATTCAAGATAAAACTGTCTGTGATAGAGATCAAGCTCTCTGTTTCTTCCGGTTTGGATAGATGTGTATGGTTAATAAATTTGTGCTTGTTTTGCGATGATGTATTCTTCTTGAGCAGTAAGAACAACTAGATTAACCTTATGCCTTTGCCTGTTACATTTGCTCCCCAGACGATTGCAACAGTCTGCATGCTCCTAGCTGGTAAGGTTGAGGAAACTCCAGTGCCATTAAAAGACGTTATTATTGCCTCTTATGAGAGAATGCACAAGAACGATCTTGCTGGTGCTCAGAGAAAGGTTTTTTTTCATACTACCGATCCTACAACCCTCCTTGTCCATATGTTTCTTCTTCGTTTTTACGTGAAGAGGTTTTTGAAAAGATTTGTTATTTCACTTTTGCAGGAAGTATATGAGCAACAGAAAGAGCTTGTATTAATCGCAGAGGAGCTTGTTCTTTCTACATTGAACTTTGATCTCTTTATTCACCACCCTTATAAACCTCTTGTAGAAGCAATTAAGAAATATATGGTTGAAGATGCTAAGCCCCGACTTGCCCAATTTGCATGGAATTTTGTCAACGATTGGTATGCTTGATTATATAACTTGAAAGCTTTTTGAATTCGGATGGTTCTCTATACGCCTTGTGTTTCCCTTTTTCATACAATCACAAGTCTCTTGCAGTCTGCGAACGACACTCTGCCTGCAGTATAAGCCTCATCACATAGCGGCAGGTGCTCTTCTCCTTGCTGCTGAGATGCTAGCAGTGGACTTACAATCTTACGGAGAGGTCTTGTGTCAAGAGTTTGATATCACACCTTGTCAGTTAGAGGGTATGTGTTATCTTTTTTTTTCATAAAAATTAATGACTTTGATGACTCTAGACCTTGTTGCTGCGGTCTATTTATCTTTTGCGTTGATCAGATATCCGAGGCCAAATACTTGAGCTTTATGAGAGAAAGCATATTCCTACATCTCAAGAAAGCATAGTTGAAAGTAGTGGTGGTGTAGCCGTAGTGCATCAACCTATATCCAGAGATATGGCTTCCACAGAGAAGTGTGCAAGTTCTGATACTGAAGGAGGCTCATCGCAAGTCAATCTAAGCCAGAGCGATGATCATTCAGTCCACGATGGGTCTAGGCCTGAAGGAATTGGAGAGGAGAACTCAGATAGTGAAGCTGAAAAGAATCGAGATGACCATTCTGTTGGTACTATAATGGTTGAGACAAGTGATGGTGTTGGGGTCATCCAATTGGAGAAAGACTTGCAACTGCATCAAAAGGAGGTGGAGGCTAAACAAGAAAAAGAGAAGAAGTCATTTGACAAAGATACAACGAAAAAGGACTTGATGGATGAGAAGGATTTGACTGAAAGAGAAGTAAAAGATGAGGAATTGCGCGATGAGGATAACAAAACAACGCAGACGAGAAGACAAAGCTTTATGAAAGTCAGAAGACCCTGATGACAACACAAGTGTCGAACACAGTGAGATTCTAGATGCAAACCACTCAGCTGTTGATGGTGAATTGGTGCCTGATACTTCCCTGATAAATGACAGTGATTTGAAGGAAATGGTCGTTGAAGATGGTGAAATAGTGGTTTAGAAATTTAGCTCAGTAGCTTTGGAAGAGAACTGGTTTTGGCCCTTTTGGGCATTGAGAAGAGCTTTTTAACTAGGTGGTGAGTTTTCGAGAGACAACTATTATATGTTTTCTCCAAAAGATGATGGTTTAGGTTTAAGATTTGTGGTAGATCATGACTTTAAATCTTGTATTTTTCCTTACACCAAGGTTTAATCTGTATTATATCGAAATTTTTTGGTAATTATTTTTACTTTATTGTTTTGTTTTAATGTGTATAGAAATCATATAATTCGTAAAAAAAAAAATCATCATTCTTCCATTAAAGTTTTCCCGCTCACACAAAAAATTAAATTTACACACAAGATCAGCATTAGTTGTTTTGATTCTCCACAGATTTTGGAAACAATTACTTTTCTGTTTATTTTTTCTTTTCCATAACAATTATACTAAATGAAGATATATACATGGATATTACTCTAACTGAAGAGATTTAATTAGGAAATTTGAATATATTCGAAATTTGTAAGATTTGGAAACTTCATGATCGATGGGAAAAGTTTCCTACTTTTACAAATGGTGTTGACCTATAATAAGGAAACTACTCTGTCACTTGGAGTCATAAGTCTCACAATACACGTCCTTTCATTTTCCTAACTTCCTCCATTTTTACTTTGTCTCGATTTTCTAATTCTAGTAGAAGGTATGAATTTTGCATAAATCTACACTAAGACTTGGTTGTTTTTATTTTTTAACTGTGTCATGTTGATTGTTCTACTTTTGGGGTTTTTTCGTTCTCTTCTCATCGATTCATGAGAATCTTATTGTACTGTTTTCTATTGAATTTTGTATTTCTTACAGCAACTTAGATTTAGGTTCCGTCCGTTTAATTTCTTGTTTAACCATTTTCGTAAACATTGAAGTCGGTTGTTTGATGATCTTTACCTAGAACTCTTATTTTTGGATTCCTGCAAAAATGTTTGATTTGTTCAATTTATGGAAACATTCCTCTTAACCTTTCTCCATTGATTATTTCTTTACAGTGAGTACAAAACTCTCCCTAACATGGAATGTAACAAGGATGAAGCTAGAAGGGCAATGGCTATTGCTGAGAGGAAAGTTTCAGAGTATGATTACAATGGAGCAAAGAAATTTGTTACCAAGGCTCAGAATTTGTATCCAAACCTTGATGGTTTGAAACAAGTGTTGTTGATGATCGATGTTTATATCTCCGCAACAAACAAGATCAACGGAGAAGCTGATTGGTACGGAATTCTCGGTGTTGATCCTATAGCTAATGATGAAGCTGTGAAGAAACGTTACAAGAAGTTAGCTCTTTTGCTTCATCCTGATAAAAACAAGTTTAAAGGCGCAGAAGGTGCGTTTAAGCTGGTTTCACAAGCTTGGTGTGTGTTATCTGATAAGGTTAAGAGAATTGTTTATGATCAAAAGAAGAAGTCGAAAGAAGCGAATACCGGGATGCAGAAACCACCAACAAACCCACAAAAGCCTGCTTCTCATAATGGGAATCAAAATGCTGGAGGTTGTGTGGTTCCGAGTGCTGCGGGTAGAAGTGATAAGCCTGCTAGTGGGATGCCAAAACCGGCAACTCCACACAAGCCAGCATCTTCTAACGGGCTGCATCATAATGCCAGAGACTGTGTGGATCTGAGCGCTAAAAGTAATAAGCATGCTCCTGCCCCTGCCCCTGCCCAGAAACAGATGAAAGAAAGTGAATTGTTTTGGACAATGTGCAATGGATGCAAGACACAATGTTCATATCTGATGGTTTATCTTTACAAGACCATACTCTGTCCAAAATGTGGTCAGACTTTCATTGCAACTGAGATAACTCCATGTGCAAGTGTTGTGAGGCCAGCCAACATTTCATCATCTCCTCAACAACAACACCATTATAGTGCCCAAATTAAAGCAACAAACAAAAGCACTAATGGAGCTTTGTCTTCTGGGAGCAATTCTTCTCCATCTGCTAGTGCTGCAGCTCAGAAAACTCCACAAGTAAGTGCCTCTTCTTCAGGGAGAGTTTATTCACCATCTGTTAGTGCAACCGCGAGAACTCCACAGGCAAGTGTTTTGAGGCCTGTCATAAACCTTTCATCATCTCCTGAAGTACAACAACAATGGAGCGCCCAAAACATAAGTGGTGGTACTTCTTCACAGAGTTTTGCTTCATCATCTGCTAGTGCAGCTCAGAAAACCCCACAAGCAAGTGCCTCTTCTTCAGGAAGAGTTTATTCACCATCTGTTAGTGCAACCGCGAAAACTCCACAGGTAAGTGTTTTGAGGCCTGTCATCAACCTTTCATCATCCCCTGAAAGACAACAACAATGGAGCGCCCAAAACATAAGTGGTGGTACTTATTCACAGAGTTTTGCTTCATCATCTGCTAGTGCAGCTCAGAAAACTCCACAAGCAAGTGCCTCTTCAGGAAGAGTTTATTCACCTTCTGGTAGTGCAACTGCGAAAACTCCACAGGCAAGTGTTGTGCAGCCAGTCGTCAACCTCTCATCATCTACTCAAGTACAACAACAACAACAATGGAGCGCCCAAAACACAAGTGGTGATACATATTCACAGAGTTTTGCTTCATCATCTGTTAGTTACACCTATAGTTATCAATGGAGTTGTTCAGTGTCAGTAACCGCCAATTCTAGTAGCGGAAATGCCCCAAATCAAGCACAAGAAAGTTCGAAAAGAGTACATGAGGTGTCACAAGAAACGATTGCTGCTGCAGAAAAGGTACTTAAGAAGCCGAGGAGGCGAGGACAGAAGATAGATAAGAAGTAAAGACTTATCACACGTTTCTAGAAGTTGCTGAGTTCTCTGTTTTTTTGTTTGTTTGGCTTTTAAAGATGCTTTACGATATGATATGAATCTTTTTCCATCTCTAAGACTTTAACTACACTGGAACAAAAGCAAGTTCTCCTTGCATCGTCAATGTGTAATGTCCTAACTTCTTTTAAACATATGGTTTCATGACTTTGAATCCTTGCTTTTCTCTGTTTTTAACAACTGTTTTACTCCAATTACTAATGGAATTAGATTGAACTTGGATAGAGACATAAGATAAGTCCCTTGCAAGATCACCATCAGACAAAGATGCTTACCTATACCACAAAGAGACTAAATCTGTTATAGAGCATGCTTAAATCATTACAGGACAGTTTCTGCTGATTTTCTGCTCTAATCACAGCCACACAATTCAAGAAAAACAAAAGTTTGTTGTAAACAATTTGTTTTAGGCCTGAAGTAATTGGAGAGAGGAGAACTCAGAAAGTGAAGCTGGAGATATATAATTGTTGAGACAAGTGATACTTTATTTAGTCAGTGAGCTAATTAATTTTCCATTTTATTCCACTAACTAATAAATTTTCCTTTTTTCCATCCATAAGCGTTACGTGTAATACACGCGTGACTCGCAGAGTGGTTTATATAAATCTAAAATAGGAAATTAAATCACCGTTTAGTAAAAGGAAAATCAACCTATAAATTTACTTATACCAAACCATTATTTTACATCTTTTAATATCTTCCTCTTCTCTCGTCTCTCGCGACGTTTCTAGGGTTCTTCTGCTTAGCACGAGATTTTGCAAAAACTTTCTTTAATGGGTACTGTTATATTCACCGAATCGTTGCTAACTTGTTTCCGATTTTGTGTGATATGATATTTCGTGGCTTCTTTTGAAACTCTGTGATTCCCTGTTTTGGTTCTGTAAACAAATCCTCTGAACCTATTTTTTGTCTTTTGCTTCTCTGATTGTTTCTGTAGTGGAAGAAACTCTCTCAAAGACATGGAGTCTAATAAGGAAGAAGAAGCTAAAAGAGCATTGGATATTGCTGACAGGAAGCTTTCAAAGAATGAATATAACAGAGCGAAAAGATATGCTAAGAGGGCTCAACGTTTGTATCCAAAGCTCTGCGGTTTGGAACAAGTCTTGGTAATGATCGATGTTTATATCTCTGCATCAAACAACGGAGGAACAGAAGAACCTGATTGGTACAGAATTCTCGGTGTAGATTCTTTATCTGATGATGAAGCTGTCAAGAAACGATACAAGAAGTTGGCTCTTTTGCTTCATCCGGACAAGAACAGGTTTAATGGTGCTGAAGGCGCGTTTAAGCTTGTTCTACAAGCTTGGGATGTATTATCTGATAAATCTAAGAGAATTTCTTATGATCAAAAGAGGAAATCAAAACAAGTTAGTAGAACACAGAAGCATAAACCAACAGAGCCAGACAAGCCAGCTTCTTCTTATAGACCTACGCCTACACCTGAGCCTAAGCCTAGGCCTACGCCTAATATGCCTAAGCCTAGCCCTGAGCCTGATATTCCTATGCCTATGCCTACTAGGCCTAAACCTAAGCCTAAGCCTGATACTTCAATGACAACGGTGAAAGTCGGAACCTTTTGGACAGTGTGCAATAGATGCAAGACATATTGTGAATTTATGAGGGCTAGTTGTCTTAATAGGACCATACCTTGTCCGAACTGCGGTAAGTATTTCATTGCAACCGTGATACCTTCAGAGTTAATCAATGGGAGGCTAGTCATCAGATTGAGTCCTTCTAATCAGTCAACATGGAAAAGCACAAGTGATACTTCTTCAACTTCAGGTTTGGGAAAGGCTTCACCCGAAAGAGTGAAAAGATGGTTTAACCCTATGCCTGAGCTTGATTCTTCAATGGAAACAGAGAAAAAACTCAGTACCTTTTGGACAGTGTGCAATAGATGCAAGACACATTGTAAACTAGTGAGGGCTAATTATCTTAACAAGACCTTCCCTTGTCCAAACTGCAGTCAGGAATTCGTTGCGGCCGAGATGATTATAGAGATAATCAATGGGGGTCCAGTCATAAAATTGAGTCCCTCTGTTCAGTCAAATAGCAAAAGTAGCAAAAGGACAAGTGATGCTTCTTCCACAACCTCAGCATCTGATAAAGCAAAGACTGCATACCAAAGAGAAG